GAGAAAACTTAAAGATTTTAAATTTCCCGTCAAGGATTCGTATACCTCTTCGATCATTATATTCTCCTAATACAAAATCGAGAAACTGAGAAAATTTAAAGATTTTAAATTTCCCGTCAAGGATTCGTATACCTCTTCGGTCATTATATTATCCCAATACAAAATCGAGAAACTGAGAAAATTTAGATTTTAATTTCCCGCCAAGGATTCGTATACCTCTCCGATCATTATATTCTCCTAATACAAAATCGAGAAACTGAGAAAATTTAAAAGTTTTTAATTTCCCGCCAAGGATTCGTATACCTCTTCGATCATTATATTCTCCTAATACAAAATCGAGAAACTGAGAAAATTTAAAGATTTTAAATTTCCCGTCAAGGATTCGTATACCTCTTCGGTCATTATATTATCCCAATACAAAATCGAGAAACTGAGAAAATTTAGATTTTAATTTCCCGCCAAGGATTCGTATACCTCTCCGATCATTATATTCTCCTAATACAAAATCGAGAAACTGAGAAAATTTAAAGATTTTAAATTTCCCGTCAAGGATTCGTATACCTCTTCGGTCATTATATTATCCCAATACAAAATCGAGAAACTGAGAAAATTTAGATTTTTAACTTCCCGTCAAGGATTCGTATACCTCTTCGGTCATTATATTCTCCTAATACCAAATCGATAAACTGAGAAAATTTGAAGATTTTAAATTCCCCGTCAAGGATTCGTATACCTCTTCGGTCATTATATTATCCCAATACAAAATCGAGAAACTGAGAAAATTTAGATTTTAATTTCCCGCCAAGGATTCGTATACCTCTCCGATCATTATATTCTCCTAATACAAAATCGAGAAACTGAGAAAATTTAAAAGTTTTTAATTTCCCGCCAAGGATTCGTATACCTCTTCGATCATTATATTCTCCTAATACAAAATCGAGAACCTGAGAAAACTTAAAGATTTTAAATTTCCCATCAAGGATTCGTATACCTTTTCGATCATTATATTCTCCTAATACAAAATCGAGAAACTGAGAAAATTTAAAGATTTTAAATTTCCCGTCAAGGATTCGTATACCTCTTCGGTCATTATATTATCCCAATACAAAATCGAGAAACTGAGAGAATTTAGATTTTAATTTCCCGCCAAGGATTCGTATACCTCTCCGATCATTATATTCTCCTAATACAAAAACGAGAAACTGAGAAAATTAAAACATTTTAAATTTCCCGCCAAGGATTCGTATACCTCTCCGATCATTATATTCTCCTAATACAAAATCGAGAACCTGAGAAAACTTAAAGATTTTAAATTTCCCGTCAAGGATTCGTATACCTCTTCGATCATTATATTCTCCTAATACAAAATCGAGAACCTGAGAAAACTTAAAGATTTTAAATTTCCCATCAAGGATTCGTATACCTTTTCGATCATTATATTCTCCTAATACAAAATCGAGAAACTGAGAAAAATTAAAGATTTTAAATTTCCCGTCAAGGATTTGTATACCTCTTCGGTCATTATATTATCCCAATACAAAATCGAGAAACTGAGAAAATTTAGATTTTAATTTCCCGCCAAGGATTCGTATACCTCTCCGATCATTATATTCTCCTAATACAAAATCGAGAAACTGAGAAAATTTAAAAGTTTTTAATTTCTCGCCAAGGATTCGTATACCTCTTCGATCATTATATTCTCCTAATACAAAATCGAGAACCTGAGAAAACTTAAAGATTTTAAATTTCCCGTCAAGGATTCGTATACCTCTTCGGTCATTATATTATCCCAATACAAAATCGAGAAACTGAGAAAATTTAGATTTTAATTTCCCGCCAAGGATTCGTATACCTCTCCGATCATTATATTCTCCTAATACAAAATCGAGAAACTGAGAAAATTTAAAAGTTTTTAATTTCCCGCCAAGGATTCGTATACCTCTTCGATCATTATATTCTCCTAATACAAAATCGAGAAACTGAGAAAATTTAAAGATTTTAAATTTCCCGTCAAGGATTCGTATACCTCTTCGGTCATTATATTATCCCAATACAAAATCGAGAAACTGAGAAAATTTAGATTTTAATTTCCCGCCAAGGATTCGTATACCTCTCCGATCATTATATTCTCCTAATACAAAATCGAGAAACTGAGAAAATTTAAAGATTTTAAATTTCCCGTCAAGGATTCGTATACCTCTTCGGTCATTATATTATCCCAATACAAAATCGAGAAACTGAGAAAATTTAGATTTTTAACTTCCCGTCAAGGATTCGTATACCTCTTCGGTCATTATATTCTCCTAATACCAAATCGATAAACTGAGAAAATTTGAAGATTTTAAATTCCCCGTCAAGGATTCGTATACCTCTTCGGTCATTATATTATCCCAATACAAAATCGAGAAACTGAGAAAATTTAGATTTTAATTTCCCGCCAAGGATTCGTATACCTCTCCGATCATTATATTCTCCTAATACAAAATCGAGAAACTGAGAAAATTTAAAAGTTTTTAATTTCCCGCCAAGGATTCGTATACCTCTTCGATCATTATATTCTCCTAATACAAAATCGAGAACCTGAGAAAACTTAAAGATTTTAAATTTCCCATCAAGGATTCGTATACCTTTTCGATCATTATATTCTCCTAATACAAAATCGAGAAACTGAGAAAATTTAAAGATTTTAAATTTCCCGTCAAGGATTCGTATACCTCTTCGGTCATTATATTATCCCAATACAAAATCGAGAAACTGAGAGAATTTAGATTTTAATTTCCCGCCAAGGATTCGTATACCTCTCCGATCATTATATTCTCCTAATACAAAAACGAGAAACTGAGAAAATTAAAACATTTTAAATTTCCCGTCAAGGATTCGTATACCTCTTCGATCATTATATTCTCCTAATACAAAATCAAGAATCTGAGAAAACTTAAAGATTTTAAATTTCTCGTCAAGGATTCGTATACCCCTTCGGTCATTATATTATCCTAATACAAAATCGAGAAACTGAGAATATTCAGATTTTTAATTTCCCGCCAAGACTTCGGATACCTCTTCGCTCATTATGTTCTCCTAATACAAAATCGAGAAACTGAGAAAATTTAGATTTTTAATTTCCCGCCAAGACTTCGGATACCTCTTCGCTCATTATGTTCTCCTAATACAAAATTGATAAACTGAGAAAATTCAGATTTTTAATTTCCCGCCAAGACTTCGGATACCTCTTCGGTCATTATATTATCCTAATATAAAATCGAGAAACTGAGAAAATTTAGATTTTTAATTTCCCGCCAAGAATTCGTATACCTCTTCGATCTTTATATTCTCCTAATACAAGATCGAGAAACTGAGAAAATTTAAAAATTTTAAATTTCCCGCCAAGGATTCGTATACCACTTCGATCATTATATTCTCCTAATACAAAATCGAGAAACTGAGAAAATTCAGATTTTTAATTTCCCGCCAAGACTTCGGATACCTCTTCGCTCATTATGTTCTCCTAATACAAAATCGAGAAACTGAGAAAATTTAGGTTTTTAATTTCCCGCCAAGGATTCGTATACCTCTTCGGTCATTATATTCTCCTAATACAAAATCGAGAAATTTCCGTAAAATGAGAAATTCTAATGTTTAGCAGATTTGTGTCAGGAGAATATAATGAGCGAGGAAGTCTTTAGGAAAATATGTCTAAATAAGTTTTAATGAAATACGAGGGAATATTTGAACAATTTTTATTTTTTCGTATAAATATACAACATAATTTTTTACAATGTTTATACAATATTCTTATAATTGTTACAATATTTACAATATTTATATAATATATATATATATTACAATAGAATATAAAATAATATATGATGTAATATATAATAAGATAAAATATATAATAATTAAATTATTAGTTGAAATAAAATATGCATTGATTGGAAATATATCGAATTATTACATTCCTAAATATAATTCGTTAGATTTCCAATTAAGATATATTTCATATTAATAATAGTTTTGAATAATATCTATAAAAGCTACATATTATATATACATAATGAATTTTTACGAAACATCCATAATAAATTTTACACAGACTTACATAGAAGATAGAATATGAATGACCATTAGATGTGACATCCACCATAGAAACAAATGTGCGGTGGAGTTATAAATGTTTTACGAGCATCTAATGTTCATTGTACATAGCAATAATGCCGTTTGTAATTACAAATTTTAACAATACACATTACCTCGCATCTACTATAAAAATCGCGATCGACACTGCTGATAGGAAGTGATCCTTTGCTCTTGAGTCTACAGAGCGCTGGGAGCAGTCCAGAGGGAATGCCACGGGTCCAAAATCTGTAATTAAAATTTGTGTCATCAGTGGAGAAAGATTTCAATGTCGACTGGAAAAATAATCTAATAATAAAACTAATCTCCTGCTCCGTTTCATCTTTATGTTTCATCATCTTTAGCGGTAAAATTAGCCACGCGTATACGGAAGTCGTTCTGCAAATTTCCCGTCTTATCTTCTTAAACTTCCAAACTAAATTGTAAAAGCACAGGAATGTTCTGTGGAGATTTTCCCAAGTACAAGCGGAGAGTTTCGACTATGTATAAGCTGCTGAACTTTTACATCCGGGAAAATATTTATGCTGACTGACAGTCTGCCGCACATTGTCTTCCGGAAATCGAATCTAACTAGCGAGTAACTAGCGTTAGGCTCTGACCACATCCGCGTGATCCAAGTTCCATGAGACGAAGTCCCATTTATTATATTAAATATAACGTAATAACATACCGTCGCCAAAATACGCGGAGGAACAAAATACAAAAGTACAAAAGCGCTCGTCGCAACAGTTGACAATCGTTGCTTGTCTCGAAAGCAAACAAGCTTCGATAAACGCTCACACTTACTCGTATATCCACATAGTATCCTAAAGGTGAAAGGTTCCGTCCGCGGTGATAAGATAATTGCGTCTGTTTCGCAACTCCAGGTCACCAGTGGCTGAAGACGAATCTCGACGTGATCCCCGAGTCGGGCTGGTCGGTCGACCCGTTCGGCCACGGCGGCACTATACCCTACTTCCTCAAGGCGTCCGGCGCGTCCGGCACGGTGATCCAGAGGATACACTACGCGTGGAAACAGTGGTTCGCCAAGAAGCAGTACGGCGACTTCGTGTGGCGGCAGCCGTGGGACCGCACCGGCGCCGCCGACATGCTCACCCACAACCAGCCCTTCGACATCTACAACATCAAGCACTCGTGCGGCCCGCACCCGCACGTGTGCCTCAACTTCGACTTCCGGAAGATACGCGGCGAGTACACGGAGTACTCCGTGCGGGCGGTCGAGATCACGCCCAACAACGTGAAGCAGATGGCCGAGCTGCTGTTGGAGCAGTACGCGAGAACCGGCTCCTTGTTCACTCACAATGTCGTGCTGATGCCCCTCGGCGACGACTTCAGGTTCGTATAATGCGCACCTCCGCCGGGCGGACACCCGAGAGAGAATTTCCCCCGGTATTTTAGGATTCTTATTTATTGCTTGCACTTCGGTCCTTGCTGTCTCGGCACCTCCGAGCGCGGAATCCTCCGGCATTTCTTCCATTCTTTATCGGAAGTTTCCCGTTCCGCGCGTCGCGACTTTCTCTCACTCGCGCTTACACGCGACGGTATTTTTTAGTCTTTATTTCTTTACGCTGCTTTTATTTTTCACCTTTCCCTCTTTCCCTCCCTCTTTCTCCCTCTCGGGTTTGCTTTTATAACTTTATTTTTGCGCGACACCGCAACTGCAGGGTTCTACCGACGGAACGAGACCGCGATGACTGTTTTAGGTACGACCACGCGATCGAGTGGGATCAACAGTACACCAACTATAAAATCCTGATGGACTACATAAACAGCCGCAAGGACGAGTACAACGCCGAGGTGGTGTTCGGCACGCCCAAAGACTACTTTCGCGAGATACAAAAGCGCGTGGAGAAGTTCCCGTCGCTGACGGGCGACTTCTTCGTCTACTCCGACATCTTCAGCGAGGGCAGGCCGGCGTATTGGAGCGGCTACTTCACTACCAGGCCCTACATGAAGATCCTGGACCGCGAGCTCGAGGCGAATCTCAGGTCTGCCGAGATTCTCTACACGATCGCGCTGAACCTCGCCAAACAATCTGGAAAGGACATCAAGCTCTATGAGACGTACTTCGAGAAGCTGGTGAAAGCGAGGCGTAACCTCGGCCTCTTTCAGCATCACGACGCGATCACCGGCACCTCCAAGTCCTTCGTCATGAAGGACTACGCCCTGAAGCTCTTCGAGTCCATCTCAGACACGACGAGTCTACAGAGCTTCGCCATACAGTCGCTGGCGGCGACCACGACCAAGTCGAATTCCGTCTACGTGTTGGCCGAATCTGACCGAGACAGCTACGAAAAGCTGCCGAAGAAGATACCGATCGGAGTCAACGGCCACGAGACGCGAAAGATCGTCCTGTTCAATCCGCTGGCGCAGCCCAGGCAAGAGGTGATCAGTCTCAAGATCACCTCCTACAAGATCAGAGTTCTGGACCCCCAGAGGAACCCCATTCCTTACCAGATCGCGCCGGTGATGAACGCCACGAGCATCACCCACGACGTTTACGTGCTGCTCTTCGTGGCGGAGCTCAAGCCCCTGTCGATCACCACGTACCACCTGCAGCAGATCGACAAGGTGCCGATGGAGGCCATCTCGACGGTGTACTGCGGCCGTTGCGGCAAGGACAACGTCTTTCCCATCAAGTCGATGCAGGTGGGCGACGTGCAGCTGGAGAACCAGCGGATGAAGCTGCTGTTCGACGGGCAGACCGGCTTCCTCAAGCGCGTCACCAAGAAGTCCACCGGCAAGATCATGCAGTGCGCGGTGCAGTTCGCCGCGTACCCGTCCGCGCAGTTCCACAGCGGCGCTTATCTCTTCATGCCGGACCCGAATCTGCGGGACACCGACAAGGACGTGCTGGAGGTGTACACGCCGCACCAGAAGATCTACATCGTCAGCGGTAGCCTCAGCTCCCGCCTCACCGTCGAGTACGGCAAGCTGCTGACGCACCACGTGGCGATCTACCATCACGAAGGCGGTCTCGGCGAGGCCATCTACCTGCGCAACATCGTGGACTTCGAAACACCGCCGAAGAACCGCGAGACCGAGATGTTTATGCGCCTGCAGACCGACATCTCCAACGGCGACCCACCAGAGTTCTACACTGACCTCAATGGCCACCAGATGATCAGGCGCTCCAAGATCGAGCGGATCGGCATCGAGGGAAATTACTTCCCCATCACGACCATGGCTTACATCGAGGACAACAGTCACCGGCTGACACTACTGGTCAACCACTGCCAAGGCGCGGCCAGCTACCAACCCGGCTGGCTGGAGGTAATGCTGGACAGGAGGACCCTGTACGACGACTCCAGGGGAATGGGCGAAGGTCTGCTGGACAACCGCAGGACCGTCATCAAGCATTGGCTGCTGCTCGAAGACATCAGCGGCGACAAGGACGCCTATTCGAAGCCGTCGCTCTTCGCCAACCACCTGAGCAACGCGCTCAACTACCCGGTCAACATCTTTGTGGTGGACGGCAGCGAGCAAGAAGTCACCATGGCGCCCGAGGTACGGCTGCTGAGCCAGAGCTTCCCCTGCGACCTGCACCTGCTCAACCTGCGCACCAATCACGACCAGAAGCTGCCGCACTTCCCGGTCAACAGCGCTCTCATGGTGCTGCATCGGCAAGGCTACAGCTGCTCCGTCGGCATCGACACGGTGCTCAAGCATTGCCCGCTCACGAGTCGACTGTCTCCAGGCACCGCCTTCTACAAGCTCGACAACGTCAACGTCACGAAGACGTCGTTGACCGGCACGCGGCCAGGAGCCCGGCTCAAGGACGGCCTTCAGGAGGTCGGCCTGCAGCCGATGCAGGTCGAGACGTACAATGTCAACTTCGTGCAATGATCATGAAGCCGTCGCACGGCCGGCCTGCCTTGCCGCGTCCGATGAACGGTTAACGGAAGCCTCGAGAGTGTTCGCCCCTTCCGAACGACACTGCCGATATGATCGTACTAAGTATACTACCTCTGTGAACTCTTCGCGGTAACCCGCGCGCACGCTTCGCGACGGTAGAGGACTCGATATGCAGCGGACACGCGCGTGTCAGCGCGCTGATCGCGGCATCTCTCGCGAAACGGAACGCGTGGGACGAGAGCAAGGGAGATGGCGGCCGAGAGAGTGAGTGAGGGGGAGAGAGAGAGACAGAGAGAGAGAGACAGAGAGAGAGAGAGACAGAGAGGAGGGAGGGAAGAAGGAGATTGTAATTAATTGACGGCTGACGATTAATCTCCTCGGGACAATTAAGATGTGAAATAATTGACTCCTCCGGCCGGGGTCGATTGCGACGGATTCTTTCGTGCTAGAAAGAGCTTTACAAATTTTTCATCAATGTTCAATTATACAGTTGTACATAGAGAAGGAGTTTCCCCCGCGCCCTGCCTCCCACCGGGGGGGGATTTCTCACGATCCCGATCACGACGGTGCGTCATATTGGGCCTAGCGATCGACTCCACGTGCGCTTCATTCCCCCTCCCCCCCCTCTGCCGCCCCAGTTTCCAGGTAGTGTTTCTCTTACTCACTGAACGCTTCTATTTTTCATAGACAATAGACCGGAAGTGCGGGAGTTTTATATGACGACTTGAGTGTTTGTAAATTTTTCGTCCGCGCGACTGACTCGCGCGAGTCTCGCGCGAGTTATCGAGCGGACAAATTGACTCGGCAACTTTTCGCGCTGATACCACGTCGGGGAGTTGGTTTACAGCCGAATTTCGCTCTCGGACGGGGGATTTCGCGTCGCGTCGCGATTAACGTTCCGCGAGAAAGTTTTACGAGTCGACGGAGGAAGGGGGGGGGTGGTCGGGTGTAAATACTTGGATCGGCGCGACGCAGTTGACGAAGACGACGAACGTCCGACTTTGCGCGCACCACTGTACATATTACGCTCCTGTTACGGTGTGTCTTTGCGTTTGAATTAATGAAGACGGGCACGGAAAGTATCTCGAAGAGCGAGTTGCTAGGGGAGAGGTGAAGAGGGGAGAAAGACACATGTAAATATATGGAATACACTTGTTAGGAAACATCCACGGGGATGCATCACCGATTTCTCTGCGCTTCGGAGCAACGAGGCATAAGAAACGTACATTTTTTTATGGATTTGCTGTTTCGCACGTTCGGAGATTGGGCGAATCCCCTCGAGGAAAATTCGGCTCGATTGATTTTGGGCGAATATCTTTGAAGCCGTATAGCGGAGGGAATATTTCGGACAGAAGTTTTATGGTATATTCGTCGGTCCTCTTTTTCGAGAACTGTGTTTTTTTTTTCGAAAATATAATTGTATATTCGAGTTCTCGACGTGTATTCCCAACGTTCATATGTTCTTGAAAATTGCAAATTCATAAAGCACATTTAACGTCATCGAACCTGTGCCTGCAACATTTTGTCATACAGCTCACACGCTTTTGAATATGTTCGCTCCCAATCAATTTATCGGATTACCTTCGAGGGATTGTTTCGATCCCTAAATATGCGAAAAAACGTATTCGGGAAAATTCGTGTCATATATATATATATATATATATATATATTTCGAGCTGATCCAAAACCCATCGAAATCGCTGAGCATGTCCAAATGTTTCTTCGTTAATGATTTATCCCGCTTTTTCGCGTCCCGAACCGGACGGAGACCTAATAGCTAATATGCAGCGTGACTATATATGTATGTATGTATTTACACATAGATGCATATATGCATATATGTACGTAGGCAGTCTGAAAAGTTCTCGACCTGACACATACATGGCATTAGATACTGTCAAATTATAATTGTATTGGAAAGTGGCATCTCTGATATAAACCCATGTAAAATTTTATTCGATCTGTCAAGTCATTCGAGTAGTAGCACCAGTTGAGAAAGATGAGTGCAAGATGAGTGTCGCATTTGCTAACAATTGACCAAAAACGCATTCGAATGCGTATTTCTCAAGCGTGTCTGGCACATTTTTATCGTTTTAAGCAAAATAAAATGGATCTCATAACTGTTGATGAAACTTGAATTCATCACTACAGCGAACACGACCACAGCGAAAAGAACCTTCCGGAATCACACTTTAATGATGGTATTGAATTATTGGAAAGACGTTGGAATAAATGTATTGAAGTTTCAGGAGATTATATTGAAAAATAAAACATATATCACGGCAAAAAAGAATCTTCTTTCATTGTTAGGCCGAGAACTTTTCAGACTGCCCTCGTATATTCGTGCGCTTGCTTACTTGTACTTTAATCCTTCCTTCCATCTATAAATCTATTCCATACGTTTACCACTTCAACGACCTTGCGTGACCACGTTTGTCAATTCTATTTATTTGTAGATATAACACACAGAGAGGGAGAGAGAAAATAAGAGAGAGAGAGAGAGAGAGAGAGAGAAGGGAGAGACAGACTGACGGACAGATAACGACAGACGACTCTTTTTATTATACGCGTATAAATACATGTGTATATATTATATTGTACATATCAAATCGTAACGCGCGAGATAACCGCGACTTAGATAACCGTTGCATCGTAGATAATCCTTGTGATAGCGAAACGATGTAAAGAAAAAGTCTTACACATCTATTTTCGTACATCAGATATTTTGCTATCGGCCCTCCCTCCCTCCCTCCCGCCTTCCTCCCCCCCCCTCTCTCTCTCTCTCTCTCTCTCTCTCCCCGCGAATTTCGACAGCGGGGATAATTCGCAAGGGGATCTATGCGGATCGTTTGAGGAGCGGGCTCGCGCTTCTTCTTTCTGGGCGATGGAGGGACACGATGATACAGGAATATTCCCTTGACGTGTCGCGTGCGCGATATCCGAAAGTGTAACGAATATGCGGCGACGGACGACGAGGGTGTCTCTCAAAGCTAACGCGAGAGGAGCGAATCCCGGACCGGAGCGATACGAACGAAGGTAATTTGTACTGCGAGGCGCTTGTAAATAATAAAATACTGCAAGAGAGGAGGGAGAAACCTACTATCGTGTGACGAGATGAGCTCTCTTCCTCTCTCCCCCCCCCTCTCTCTCTCTCTCAATTCACGCGAACATCAATTATCGGATATCGAGGATCGCACAATAATCTGATTTCCGTTGGCGAAAAAATGCGCGTCTCGCGTTCGAAAATGTCGTGCGAACGGCGCGTCGGAGTGTCACGCTTCCAGCGTGTCCTCCTCCAACATGTCGCGATCGCGAGAGCTGACGAGAGGTGACACACGAAGAAACACACCGAGACGACACATCGCCGGCAGCGCGACGTCCCCAGCGTTCTTCCAGCCTCCATCGTGAATACCGAAGTGTGTTCCGCGTGACGGTCCTACTTGTACATATTAGATTAATTAACGGAAAGTCGTGCAGCGCGCTACCGCGCGGACGGACGGTCGCGTCTTTCTTTCGCTATCTCTTTCTCTCGCCCTACGGCGCGAAACGAACAAACGACGAGGGGGAGAACGCCGCGTAAAACCCGCTCGCAGTTTTCACGCGGACGAAGAGAGGAGGAAAAGAAAAAGGGCGAAAACGCGCGGCTTTTGGCGCGCTGATAAAATCATCACGACCGGGAAAAGATACGCGCGGTGTCCTCGCTCGCGGGGAAAGGGTAAACTAAATTCACATTCGCGCGAATTTCTCTCTCTTTGGGGTGGAGACCCGGGGTGTTCATGAACGACACCGTCGGAAAATCAACGGTTTCCCGGCGACTGCGCTTGCTTAGTGATTAGATCACGTGACTTTGTATTTCGCGTGTAATATTTTACGTGCAATGTTTTCGCGTGAATTTCGGGCACAATTAAATTACAGGATAAATTACTTTGTTTCATCCCCGCATCTCTCCCGGGGAAAGTCTGCCTGTCTCTGTTCGCTTTTCCCTCTTTTTCTCTCTGTTTTTTCTTTCTTGTTCTTTTTTTCCAACGACAAGTCGCCCCCAGTCGGTCGCGAGTCCTCTCTATTTTCTGTGTCAGAAAATACACAGATTGTCTCTCGGCGAGCTCGAAACGCATGTCGCTTTAATTGAGGACTTGATATCAGCCGTGAGCAGTCTCCGGTCGGAAAGTTGAAAAATTAAAGGCGACGAGAGCCGTCACTCGCTGACGCGACTCGGCGCCGTCGTAATTAAGCTTCGTAAGCATCGGTTATTAAAATTTTTTCGATAAACTCACGGTTCCGATAAATTTCACGGTCCGCGGCGCGAACGAGCATTCACGGGCTTAACGACGTCGTGTAAATAGGGGGATCGTCGATGAGATCGTTAAACCGATAGATCGTAAAGGGTAATGCGCAGCTAAAGTGTGATAAGTCGTTCTTTTCCGTGAAGATGTGCTCTTGTCATTTTTAATCGCGCGCACACACACACACACACATACACACACTGTCAGGCTTGACCTTCGATGAAACGTGTGCGCGAGCGTTTGTAAAAATAAATCGCCACTCATCCGTTCGTTAGCTCGCCGGTGTGATGTAACCGCTTGCGCGTTGCGCAATCGGCCGTTAATCGCAAATAGTTCAAATTTGTCCTGTCTCCTTTTTCCGCTCGTTTCCTGCCTCGTAAATCGGCGCGCTACAAGCCTATTTGAGCGTTTTGTATTGGCTTTTTATATTGTCTTATAATACTTACCTACAAATTCCCACACACACACACACACACATGCTAACGACACACAGCACTGCCCTCGATACATATCCAGTCGTCCGCCACGTTTAAGAGTTAAACGTAACGAATCAAAAGAGAGACCTCGATGCGGCGGGATCTCGACGGAGGGAGAGGACGACGCGCAGCTTTTTTCGCGCCCGGCGACACGCGAATTGTTGTTTGTACATTCTCCGCGTCGCGCATAATGTTGTAGCTCCGTTCACGAGCACCGCCGAGAATCCCGCAGGCGAGATTTCCTAGCGCCTGGATTTTTCAACGAGAGAACGCAGCAACGCCCGAAAACGCGCGGCGAAAAGACCCGCTCGGGACACAATGACTGTCCTTGTAACGATATTGTAACATACTATATGTTTTGTGCTGTCGTTAGAAGAGAGGAATTCTATATAAATATATATATGTATTAAAAAATAAAATTATATATATATATACACATGTTCGCCGTCGCTCGGACGATTCGCGAAGCGAAGCTCGTTTGGGATCGCGCGAGCGCGGACCAGCGAATCGCGACGATTACGTACGATATTCCTTACGCGTTACGATGTAATATTATATTTATTAAATAAAAATAGTAAGTGACGTATTTTTTGATCAGCCGCGTTGTGTTGTTCATGTGACGAGACACGTAGACCACTGCCGTGTGTACACCTTTTTTTCAGCCGACGCGACGACGACGACGAGCAAGAGACGAGGACGAGGAGGAGGAGAAGGAGGAGCAGCAAGAGGAGATCCTTCGAGTGTAATTCGAGGGAGAAACGCGTCCGCGCTGAACGTTAGTCGATAACGTTCCTCGAGACATAATTCTCGTTAACGGCGGGCATATCCGTACCCCTCGCGCCGACGATAAACGCCCCGGCTTGCGCCCCGATATCGCCCGCTGACCGTATAATTGAATCCGCGATAAGTCGGCGCCGCAAACGCGCGGAATCAAGAAAATTGCGAGGAGGAGCGAGCCCGCACCGCGACAACGGACTAATTTGCATTTTCCACCCTCGACGGGACACTTAAGCCGCCCCCCCCCCCCCCGAGAGCGCGACGGTATATCGCCGATTCAGTATAAAGAGGCCTAGATACTTATCGTGAAATCGTAAAGAGGACTTGGACCCGGAGGAGAGCGTCGCAGAGATCTTCCCTGACGCGCCGATATTTTCCATGGCAACGCGTTTCTTTCTTCTTCTCAGATACAAACACGCGCGTTTCAACATCCGAGCTGTCCGAAGCCGGACGAAGACGCGCCGCCACGATGAACCGCCAGGAATTCACTTGATTCTTAGCAGTCGCGAACGAGTCGGACTCGGCTTGAGTCGTTCGTTTGAAGAAAGCCCGAGAGGGAGGAGGGGAAGAAGAAGTGGCTTAACGCGATTGATAAAATATCCGCTTCGAACGCGGAGCCTTCGGCGACGGCACCGCCGGCGCCGGCAGGAAAAAGGAAGCCCCCTCATTAATTCACACACGTCCGTCTTTGGCGGTGCGCGACGGAAAAATTGGGATTCGCCGCCCCAGCCGTCCCACCGCCAGCCACGACGGCTGAAATGAACTCCGTGCCTTCGTTATACAAGTTTTAATTACAATCGATCCAATTTCCTTTTTACCGTCGCACGGAGTTTCCATTCGCTCGCCCGCCCGCCCGCCAGGATACTTCGTCAGCTCGTTCGTGAAGCTGACACTCGTAATGGCGCGCCGTTACTTCCTCCGTAAGATCGGCCTCTTCCTCGCCGTCATCCCGGCCAGAACCTTGCTAAATGTTAACGCCAGACACGCGGCTCACAAACGCCCGTCCCTCTTCCCCCTCCCCCTTGCGCTTCTACGCGCGACAGACAGCCGGCGACGGAAGTCGCGAGAGAGCGCGGAAACCCCGTCTCATCCCGGAGCTGCGCCCTTTAATCGCGACGAATTTCACCCCTTCCCGCCACCTCCGCGGCAATTTGCGGCGCAACGTAAAAAGAGAGAGAGAGAGAGGAACCGTTCAGCAAGTTGTACGGCAAATTTACCGAATCATCTTTCAACGTGGGCAAGAAATTATCCCCCCCCCCCCACTCTCTCTCTCTCTCTCTTTTTCCGTACAGGACCTCGCGCCCGTGCAGGAGCGAGAGGAACGCGCTGTACAACGCGGTCCTGGAGAGCTTTTTATCGCGAGATAAGGAAAGCGTTAAGGACTTTTTTCCTGAAACAAAATGTTCAACACTCGCGATAATATCCTCGACTTTCCGAGAGCTAACGAATAATTTGCATTTCCCCGCTGCAAAATTATACGCGCGCCGTAGCTACCGTGCCCGTAGCTATCGCCGCCGTCAGACGGCCGACGACCGGGGGGAGAGGAAAAAAAGCGGCAGGAAAAGAAAGGAGACGAGAGGAAGAAAAAATTGGGAGGGACCGCGGAATTTATTCAAAGATATTCAGAAGAAACCGCCGCCGATTTGCCTTTACGGGATTGACTGCGGTAAGAAAAGCGCGACGGAGCGAACGCCGCTTAGCTGTCGGTTATGAATATTTATAAATCTTAACTCCCCCCTTCTCCCCGACCTTCGTTCCCACATTTTATACACGTGTACATATATATGTATATGTGCATATACACGAACATAAAGAGAGCGATTTGAACGCGAAACTCGCTCCTTTCGGGAGAATCGTTTCCGCGATGAAACGCGAAACGTCGATTCCCCTCGCATTAATAATCATGGCGTAATTACTACAATTCCTCCTCGGTTGATCGTTATCGAGTAACGAGCACTATCATTAGTATTGTATAATATCATTAATATGTAATCTGTATCTCCGGGGCAGTTTCATGTGACTCTCCCGACTAATTATATTATTTAATTGCCAAACGTACGTATTATTATAAATTGAATGGCACACGCAGTTCCCTTTCGTAATCTCTCAATTCTCCGTAATTTTACGCACTCCGGCACGAGAGAGAGATCTTGATATCAAATATCCGGTAATTATGCATAAAAGAGGCCCCTCCCCTCTGATTTAATTTATTTTTAAATATGCTGTTGCGTCGAGAGTCGTTTCATATACATATATAACGGTCGGACACAAATAGCTTTGGAAATACAAGCTGAAAAGAAACGATGAAAATTCGAAAACGATGAAATAAATATGAAAATTCATTTAAAGTAATGCATCGCCGAAGCATACACACATACACCGAAGGGAGGTGCGGGGGGGCCTTCACCTCCCCTCGTCTGGTCGAACTTGCGTTACGTGGAAAATCGCAAACTTATGTGACACAGAACAATACGACTTTCTCTATATTCGAAGCGAGTTTCATCCGTCAAGAGGAGGTATAGGTGGGGGAGGGGCCTGTTTGTTTGTGTTTCCAAAATGACTCTATTGGTTTGTTTATGTTTGAATTTCTTCATGTATTTTCACCAAAATATATGAAAATATAATAACCAAAATTCATTATTTTTATACTTGTTATTTCTATCCTTTCTCAACCTGTATCTCAGAAGCTATTTGCATCCGACTCTTATATATGTATATGAAACGACTCAGAAAGACTCCCCCAACAACATATTTAAAAATAAATTAAATCGGGGAGGGGGCTCCTTTTATGCATAAATACCCAAATTCCCGTCAACACGAAATCCTTGATGACGGAGCGAGAAACGAGGACCTCCGCTGCACTCGTCCAAGCTAATGATTGAATCACCGTAAGAGGACGAGAAAAGAACCCTACCCCCCTCCCGATTATTTGTGACTCGCAAGCAAACGACGCCGCGAAATTAACTCGCGACTCGCTCGCGAGGAGGAGGAGGAGGAGGAGGAGGAGAGGGAAGCCGCAGATGAAGTCGGCGAAATCAGCGACGTCAGTCGACGCTTTTAGCGCGACTGACTGAATTAGCGCGAGGACAATCAAACGGGAGATAATCGAGGATCCCGTTGGGGATACCGCGAAAAGCAGCGGCCGTTTTCATGCGGCGTCCATAAATGTCGGGCGTTTGTGAGGAAAGCGGCGGCGGCGACGACGACGGAGTTGCTAGTCCGCCACGTTGCGCGTTGCAGCGTCAAAAGCGGCGGAGGCTGCGCTCCGTGAACGACCTTACGCTCATCGTCGTAAGGCGAAACGTCCCGGGATTTCGTTAGTCGCCCATGGCGTTCGGTTAATTTATATGGAAATATAAGCAGTCCCGTGGATCATAAGCCGCGGCTGCTTCTTACCGCGCGCGCGCGCGCGCGCGGACGTCTCGGGGCAAATTATTCCGACCGTCGTCGACGTCGTTGTCGTCGCCGCCGAGAGACAACAGAGCTAGCTAGCCAGTAGCTTAGATTATTCGCTCCGCCGGCGCCTCCGCTATAATGTCATTAATAATTGACGGTCTTGCGGGCCATTTGAGCGACCAACGAACGTTGCTTCATGCCGTGTTACGAAGCGCGGGAAGGAATCCGCGGAGGCGCAGACGCGCGTCGAGTTGAAATTGGATTCACTTTCACTCACGCACTTATGAGAGAGAGAGAGTAAAGAAATTATTAATTTTCACAATCGGCGGCTCTCGAGAACGAGAGCCTGGCCGAGAGAGATTCTGCTGCGCGCTCCGGGTTGATCTTTCCGCGAGGGAGGCGAAAAGAAAGAGACAGAGAGAAAGAGAGAGAGAGGGGAGGGAGGGAGGGAGGGAGAGAAATAGTATATCTCTCTCGATAATTTCTCCGAAGAGTGATAAAACTCAGCGACGTAACATCCCCGCGGGTAAATGGAATATCGGTCGCGAGAAGGACTCTCCTCCCTCCGAAGCTCTCCGCTTTTATCTTTGCAAAGTCTCGTCTGGATTTTCGACATCGCGAAAGACGCTCCTTTCAGAGGCTCGCGCGCGCGCGCGCGAATTAACACGCGGCGGTTAATTATCGCGCGCCGCGCATGGCGCGGTTCTCGCACTGCGACTCGCACGGCTGAGTCTTCGCTCAATGTCAAAGCCGCGATGATATTAGCAGCGTCAGTCCGGCCGCCGTGTACACGTACACCACGCATACGACGCGCAGGAGGAGGAGGAGGAGGAAGAGGAGCAAGAGCGAGAGGGGGAGGTAGTTTTAATAAACGCGCGTCTCGAGAGAAACTTTTCTCGTTGGGATGCACCGACGTCCCGCGGTCTCGTCGCGTCGCAGAGGGATATCGTTTTTCTTCCCCGGCTCGCGGCACCAGAATGAAAATCCGTCTCTGCTTCAGCGGCAGGACAACAACGACGACGACGACTCGGATTTCATCAATTACGCGAGCGACGAGAACGAGCGACGCGGACGAGGCGCGCCGCTTTTGAGCGCGCTCGCGCGGCCATGAGAGTGAAGGAGAACGGCCGGAAGAAAATTCCTCCGGAACAGATACACACCTTTCCCCCGGGACCGCGGATTTGCAAAAGCCGGGGGGAGGGGGGGGGACGATACACGCGTGTGCGCGTGTATATATATGTGTATGTGTGCGTGTGTCCGTGCCCCCGTCTGTATCGCGGGCTCGATTTTCGTCCCGCCGACGTCGTCCTCTCGATCGCAACTGGCACCTCGTGAAGGACGCGCGACGAAGGACGCCTTTCGCTTTCGACACAGGCGCAAACTTGAGACAAACTTGAAACGACGGCGCCGCCGTCGTTTCGCTG